TCAGGAGTTTTGTTTTTACAAGGTCGGCACTTATCCCGTTCACTGAGCCCTCTTTATAGCACCACCCTTGGGGAGGGGAGGGCAAGCAATGTAAGTGTTATGAAGAGGTAGTATTACCTGAATGACTAATGTTGTTGGAAGCCAAGGTACAGTAGCCTAATGCTAAACCATTTTACGGAGGAGCTTATAAAGAGATTGGAATATATATTTTAGAACAAAGACCAAAAAAACCCAGAAAATGCAGATTCCTTTCAACATGCTTGTTTGCTCTGTGGAGTTCACATCAGCATAACTGATCAAACCCTTCAACATTCGGATCAGCCCGCCACAGATTTGCATACGGGTTTTTTCCCCCACAAAATGCTGACTGTTAGTTCAATCTGACCTTTTTACAAAAAACATTACCCGGTCAAAAGCTTACCGAGTGTAAGAAAAAAAATACTTCTCAACGGAAACTGATAATACTAGAGTTCAACTTACTGTGGAGTTGTCTTGGCATTTGTCACCTTACATTATTTGTCAAAGGAAATGTGTTTGCCAATTACAATCTTTCCTTAGATTTAGTGGTGGACTTTAGCCTCTTAATAAATGTTAGTATATCGGATTGTGTCCTTGACAATATTTTACTTGTATGAACCATGATAAAACATTGAAATCTTCATATTCTTCCGGCAAAAGTGTTAATTCAAGAGAAAGAGAAGCATAGCGTACAATAGACGTCAAAACAAGAGTCCTTTTTAGCTTTCTCATGAAAAGTTAAAATGTTTACAGTGTATGCCAAGATCTTCGGTTTCTATCTAACAACGGTTAGAGGGTCTAATCTTATCAAAATTGTGTTATAATGGCCTGAGCCTTGTTGCTAGGAAACAATAGATTCCAATTTTTTATTCCTGCTCTAACTAACTCCTGTGCTGAATAGTGACTGGATACTGTACAGGTTTATGTTATATGGCTGCAGTTTAATGGTCTGTTGCATTTTGCTCTGGTTTTCAGACCAGAAGCATGCATTTTCTACAAGAGCATCACAACAACATGCTGTAAATATTAAAAGTTAATATATTACGTGTTGATATTTGAAAGAGAAAGTACTTTGAATATTTCATTTTTTAAAAATAAAGGTGCAAACTAAGAGCTCGCGTGACGTTGTCTTTGTCCAGACCATTTACTCAAGCTAATTCCATTATTTCAGACCATTTACTCAAGCTAGTCTACACAACACCACCAAAATCCCCTTTATTGCCATACAAGAAAGAACCCATTTAATGATATTGAAATCTTTAAAAATATCAGTCAACGCTGACGCATTTAATTTTATTTCTGATGGGCAAAGTCAGACAAAGCTGATTGCAAAAAAAACGCCCTGCTTATGAAACAGTAGCATACAATTCCTGTCAACATGTACCAGCTGCTTATGCTTTCCCAGCGAGGAAATGGCAATACCGGGTGCAAGACGGGAGGTGGTGGAGCGGATGGCAGTGATGAGGGATGAATGGTGACCCCTTACTAGCCCCTGCAGTTTTTCTTCCTCAGGCCTACAGCAAGCCCAAAACTCCCATGGGGTTCAACAGCAACACAGACAAGGTTTTTCTCTTAATAAGTCACATCACAAATTGAAATGACATTCCCCTGCCTTACCCAAGATGGCATCTGCTGCCCTGTTTGATGCATTTTTTTTTTTAGACTATGACTATACAACCATGCTCATACCAGTTAGCCTCAGCTCAGTGGCCATTGCCATGGCCCATTTTTTTTTACATTGCTTTTCCTAGCACAGGGTTTTCCTTGCAAAACAAGACGATACAGCCATTGAATACTGTATCTCCCTATTGAGTTGACCTCTGAGATTTGTTCTACCAGAGACTGCAACTTGGCTCAAGCTTTCCCTGTGTTTCTTGACATGTCCTGTCCCCTGCGAGACCTGGTGAAACTGCGTTTTTTGGGTTTGTTTGTTTTTTTTTTAACTAAATAATCACTTGATAATCAATCACTTCCCTTTTCCACTTTGACTCAATATTTGGTTGCAGTATGGGGGTGTGCATGCTCACGAGCGGACACATGCGGTTTGTGGTGCTGCAAACCCATCTGTGGGACCACAAACTGCACGCACTACATGTACATGCATTCGTTGCACTGCTACTTTGCAGCATTGGTGGGCGGGAGCGGGGTTTGACACGCGGATTTCCTAGTGTCAAAAAAAAAACCTGCTAGAAAAGAGTGGGGTGGTGCACATGGTGGCAGCACATGCTGCCTGAAACTGGAGCTTGATCAGTCAGAGCCACACTCCAGCTCCAGGCCAGGCGCTGCGTGCCAGGATCATTGCCACCGCAGCCCCAGGAGGTGCCCCCCCCCCCCGGCCAAGGTAAGGCTGCTGGGGCCAGCACGGATGCTGGCCCCAGCCTCTCCTACCCCACCCGAGGCAGCTTGCCACGTGTCAGAACTGGTGTGTTGAGCATCAAGTAGTTTTGTGTCGGAAAGGCATAGTAAAGAAATAAATTTGCATGAGCACAAAGCTAATGAGCAAGAGCAGTGAAGGGAAAAGCTAAAGGCAAGGCTCTAAGCTGACTAACAAGTACTAAAAAAAAAAAAAAAAATCGTTAAGACACCGACAAGTAATGAAAGGTTCAATCAAAAAAAAAAAAAAAAAAAAACACCCATAAAATTCCCCATCATCCCAGTCAGTTCACCACCTCTCCTCCATGGCTGATGTTTGCTAAATAATGCAACAATAAAGAAAAAAAAAAAGGAATTTTTTTAAAGTATTTTTTATTAAAAAGTAAAGCTTTCTGCCACTCTGTAAAACAATTAAGATCAGAACATTGTTTCAACCAGGAGTTGATACCCTCACTAGCTACAGAACAATATGCAGAAGCACACCATAAAATATGACATTATATGGTGGGATTTTTGTTGTTGCATCAACTTAACTGAAAATTGGAACTAATTTAGGGGGGAAAACACATTAAGCAAGGAACTAAAATGTTTGTAGATTTATAGCACCACCTTCCCCATGTCCTTGGACCAGTGGGAGGTTTATTTGGTGTGTTTATTCACTATGTTAGTTTTGAAGGAACATTTTTATGCTTTACCATAAATATTTTATTTTTATTTTGGCTGTTAAAGAAGAACAACTTCAAACTCATCAAACTTCAAAGTTAAATGCTGACAACCGAGAAACAAAGTTCCTTTATGACACTCGCAGGCCTTCAGATGCTGCACAGTCAAAGTTGCCCACTCAAACACCTCAGAGTGAAACCAAATGCTTGAAAACACCTGGGGAGCCAGCTGTGTCGATAGATGAATGTCTCAGTAAGTCGGTGACTAAGGGTCTTGGTTGTAATGATCATATATGCGCACACAGAAATATTCCAGTCTTCTTCTAGGCTTGCATTCATGCCATTAGAAGGCCCTCCAAGCACTTCAGGTCTGCAGTAGTACTCTGCAAGAAAAGCCTGACCCTGGCAAAGGACAAGTATGTGAATCACTTCTGCTTCCAAGTAGACTGGGGCAGTGAAGCATTAGGCCCCTGTCTGAACTGATGACACCGCAGATCATACAGGGACTGCTGCTTTGGGAGCATGGACTAAATGGAGCCCATAGGCTTGGACAGCTGGGCTGCCCTGTGCTCACATAACCAGACTTCGGAAGGCCCCCTAAGCCTGTGACTGTTTCTCTGGAGGTTAAGTAGTCCTGTATTGTATGACTGTAGCCCCTCAACCCATAGGAATTGCTCAGTATGAGCATTTGGCCATGGGATGACATTGCCTTTATTTGTTAAAGACCAGTCGCAGCTCGGGAGTCCACCGGAAAGTGAAACCCACATTAAAACTCAAGCCAGGGGCAATGCCAATCATGTAAAACTGTGGCAAACTACTGTGTACTTTGAAATGTAGCCTTTCTGAACAGAGCCTTCCTCTCAGATCAGTCACCAGTGTCCCCTGACATATGCCAGAGTAGCTATGCGTGGAAAGCATGTCTGCCAACAGAATTTGCAGAATATTGGAATAAATCCTTGTCTTAAGCATTACCTAACCTCTGTGCATCTGTATAAATGATCCAGCTGGCCATTAGCAGGGATATGGGTTATACCCAGTTGCATAGTCACAGCATTATATATGCTAAATGGTAAACAGCAAAGAGAAAGGCCATGTTTCGGGACAAATTATGGATGGAGGTAATAGATTGGAATTTTGCTGTAGCCCAAAAGGGCTGTGGGAGGAAACAATTGGACTGGAGAAGGTACTACATACACGCACATATATGCACACGCAACATACACTACATCATCAGCGGCCAGAAGAAACTCACTAGTCATGGTGTATTGCCAAATGTTGCCCTTTTAGCTTGAGTCACAATATTTGGTTCCTGTTCCAGTTCCTGGAGTCGAGTATTCATAGGAGAACCTCCACTTGCATAACTTGACTTGACTTTAAAACGGTGCTAACCCTCATGGTGGCACAGAAAATCTTCAAAAAAACCATGAATCATAACAATTCAAATGCCAGATGGCAACCATGAGTCCTCAAAGTATTCATTTAAACACCAAAAAAAAAAAAACAAAACCCCCTAAAAATTGTCACTTGAAAGCCACTCTCATGAATTTGGGCCCCTGCGTCATGATGTTTTGAGTGCTTAGAAAGTGGCAAAAACTACTCGTGCAAATTGAACATGATCTTGTCTTTAACAATGGTTATTTTAGAGCTCTAACTCTACTCAAAATTGTTTTCCATTTTCTTCTAATTATAGCAAGGCAGTGTCAGCACTATAATTAAGCCCAAAATGAGTTTAAATCCCCCTTTTTTTAATCTACATGCAGAGACAGATTTTTCTGACACTTTTCTGTGCCTCATCAGGGTCTGGAATCAATTTAAATATGGAGTCGTATAATAATAGGAAGCAGTACAGCAAATATTCTACCATCATGGTCATATAAACCCAAAGGGAATGAAAGAAGACAACAAACTATCTGTAAAGAATAATTTATTTTACCAAAATTAGCCATCTTTATTCCTGCCCACACAACTTCCTTAAATTAATTTGGCTTTTCTCAAAAAATGCAAGGCATTTGATTTTTTTAAAGGTTTGGCTCAATCACAAATTTGAATTTTCTACCTTCAAGCTGTGCTAGCCAGTTATGATTGTTCACCTACATGATGTAACCTTGTTTCTTTCTCCTGATTGGGTGAGCCTGCAAACAGTTCCACCGAGAAGACATATGATATGAATGTAACGTTTGATGTGGAGGAATATCTTGCCTGTCCCTTTCAAATTTGTTCACAGCTTTGTTCATGTGCACCATAGGAGCCCCTAGTTTGAGGGCTTGTGTGAGTGAAGAACAGGATTTATGGGGCTTTTTTGCACTTCGGTGAATTTTGGTCAAAAATCAAACACAGAAAAGAAGCCAAAATGAATTCAAGTAAGTGTGAGAAAGAATATTCAAATAGAAAGCTCCCAGGTATAAAGAGAAGAGGAAAACATTAATTCATCCACTTGCTGGTTATTTGTCTTCCATGTCTTTTTTTTAAATCTAGTTTCAAGCAATCTTTTAAACCTCAGGCTAAAACGTCTACTAAATATACATTTCTGCAAATGTTACAGGAAAACTCATGGAGTTGTATTATCTATAATATACAGTTTCTGTGCTAGGGTATGTACAAAAGAAGACATTTTAAAAGCTGGTTTAAATTACTTTAAAACGGTGGGAATGTCTTCATGAAGGCAGGTAAAAGTCCCGGTCTTCCTTTCTCCCTAAAGAAAAAGAATCACACACAAAAAAATGATATATATAAAAGAACATAGTCTCAAGAAGGGGGGGGGGGAACAAATCCACGGGTGTGTATTTCAGTGCCACTGGTGTATAGATAGGCCCTCAAAAGAACCACAATCCTCCCACAAGGTTCATAATTTAAACTGCCTAACAACATTTTTTTCAGAGATTAGGCAGTGTACTGAATGCTATCCATCAATCCTCCCTGCCCAAAGACTTGAGATGCTCAGTGTGGAGGGAACACAAAGTCCCAACGCATCTACTATGCAGCTGCTCCTTCTCTTCAGATCCTCATAAAGTTTGCTCCTCCCATGAGAAAGAGCAGTGGGACATTGGCCAACAGAGCCTCAACTCCCACCACTTCTTGCTGTTATCATAGCATGCCTGTGTAGCCTGTACAGATGCCCCACATCTTGCCTTGGCTACCTAGATTGGCAACACCTCCATACACACAAGAGGAATAGGAAATAGACACCGTGCCTCAGACAGCAAGCAAGCTCGACGGCTCTACAAAGTGATGCTCTCAGGCGCTCCTCACGGTACCTTGTGGATGCATACATCTCTCAACAGGATGCTGCAGAGGCGTTACAATGCCTTGGTCTGGCTTCTGGAAGGCTGAGAGTAGATTGTGTACTTTCCGAAACAATCTTTTGTGGACCCCTGGTGCAGTCTGGGAAACAACAGACCAAGAAATGTTATGACTTACAGCAACTCGGGAGACATTACATAGCTGCATAATTTGCACCAATGTAAAAATCCATAGGAAAGACCAGAGAAGCTAGTCTCAGCGCTGCCTGACAGACTTGTTCAACAGGCCCTTCAAGCTTAGCCCAACCTAGTGAGCTGTTCTCTCTCCTCTCCCTGTTCCAGGGACATTGCTATTTCAAATCTGCACATATGCTAATTAAGCTCATTTTCCTATCTGTTATTGCACCCCCCCTGCTGTCTTGCAGGGCAGCTGCATAGCCAATGTTCATGCCTAATATAACTCTATGCACTTCTGTGGGGCACTAGTGACACATTTGAACTGAAACACATATCAACATGGCCACTGCAGTTAGATGCAGCTATCAAGTGATGTGATGTGATGCGACGGAGGAAAAAGAGCTTTGGCCCACCAAGAGAACATACACGCTTCTTAGCAAAGCTCCCACATGCCTAGGTCCTGATTCAACATAGCTGGTGAGCGTGTCAGTCCAGTTTCCCAAGCTCTTAAGCCTTTCAGTGTTAGCAAGCACCATATTGGATTAATTGTAAAGTGGTTCTCGCTCCTGTGGCTGCCTAACACCAATAAGATGCTCTAGAGAACGTCTTGGAGCTTATGGTAATGCTCTTTGCACCAGCGAATATTGGCATGACTCCAGCCTGCTTGCAAGTGTTCTCATGAGTGATCTTTCCATGTATCCATCATCCATCCATCTGTCATGTCTTTAGCGTGGAAGACCCGACAAACTGTTACCTGGTTTACTGCGCTCACTTTGTCTACCTTTCTACTTTAATGTTTGCAAAAACCAAATCACAAAGTATCCTAGTCTTCAAGGGCTTTGAACTAGGACTCAAAAGCAGCTTTTAAATAATTCAGCACATCCCCTCACCAGTGTCTGCCATAGTCTAGAGCTCAGTATCCTGAAGAAAGGGCATTAGCAATGCCCACATTTGTGCTCTATTCAGCCAAGGACCCTGGTGACATTGGAAGGCATGCCCTGCCCCACCATTAGTCCCTTGCAGGAAAAGTCCTAGCTCCATTAAAAGCAATAGAGTGGGCCATTGACATCAACTCATCACCCAGACTCTGAATGTGCTGTAGTGTGCTTATGAACTGGCTTTAAAAAAAGAGGGATTGACACTTGGCTTTTTCATACCTAAAGTAATGAAGGCAAAAGAGAAAGGAGCACCAGCTGCCAGAGGAAAATGAAGAGGCCATAATGCTGTCACAAATAACTCAAAATCAGGCTGAACAGAGTGAGCGCCCCACAGTGCTCCTGGGTCCAGATCTGACCTATGAAAACTGTGAGGAGCCAGGCTGCCTTCCAAAGACCACAATCCCTGGGATACCCTGAGGTGCCCTAGAAACACCCCAGCTGCACTCCTTGTAGAGTGGGGGGAAAACCTCACTACCACCAAGCACATCAATTGCTCAGAAGATCATTTGATCTTCAGGCAGCACTAAACAGGCCTAGAGCAGCCCACGGCCACAAGGGAGTATCAAGCATCAACAATCAATGTGGCCTACAATTCACAGTAATTTTCACACCTAGTTACATTCTGCATCGAAGTACCAGCTGAGTGGTGGAGGTTAGCCGGGTAACTGGATAGCAGCAATTCTCAACCAAGGTGTCATGGCACGCTGAGGTGCCTTGAGATCATTTCAAGGGTGCTGCAGGGTGCCATGCAATGTTAGCACTGTTAGGTGTACAAATATCATTCACAAGATAAACACAGATACGTCAAAGAGGAATCCATAGTATTATAGGCATTCTCACCTACTGTAGTCCTTCTGAATTGTATGCAATAGCAGAATTCCTCTATTATTTTTCTGTAGTCAAAAATCAAGTGAAATTAAGAGCTGACATTTTATGAGGGGTGCCTTGAGTCTGAAAAGGTTCACAACCACTATTGTACAGTCTCACTGAGCTCAGAGAGCCTGTCAGGCCATGATGGATTTTACCCTACAGCCTCCAATATGAAAGTCAGTTAGTATCCCAGTTTCAAAATGAGATCCATTTGCTCATCTTGGCTAAGTACAGACAGTCAAAAAGCCCAAGGCTGAATTGATTCAATCTTTGCAAGTGAGCCTAAACTGTGTAGATTGAACTTATAAATAAGTGAATAGACATCCACTTTTGATTCTGGAAATGCAGCCACATCCCTGCAATGGCTCAGGCTAGAAGTCGGGGGTGCTAGAGCATGCGTCCATGCTCAGCTGGAGCAGATAGCTTGGGCCCAGGATAGCCCATTGACCCTGCAAGGTGGGGGGGATTGCGGGGTACAGTTTTCAGGGGAGGTACAAAGCATCCTGGGATGCTGGGGGACTGTGAGTTAGATTGAATCTGTCTTTCTGACCCAATAGTACATTCCCATAATGAGAAAACTCCAATGCAAGGATTAGGCATGACGCCTAAAGACTAATTCCTCTGTTCATGTTGCTACAGCAGGAAAAGCTGTGAATTACTTTTGGCTCCAGGGTCCAGTGCTAACTAACTTCAGAATGGGACTCAGGTTTCCAGTAAAAAATAAGCATATTAAACCATACTTTAAGTTTTGTAAACCAGTGTTCATTAATGTGCAAACTGAAATCTAATTATGAATTAAAATAGTCCCTCCATCCAGACAAAGAACAAGAACTTCAGAAAATAAATAAGAATTCATATTCACATGTCATGAACCTAAATCATTGTTATGATTTCAAATACTGCTATGCCACTCCGGGGTTACTAATTCCCTCAAAAGAGAAGTGAGGATAAATGTCATCTCAAATCTCAGCTATTATGTAGCTGGTTCATGCCAATGATAAACATATCTGTAGAGAAATTAAGTTAAAAATGAGTGTAAATTATAATGAACTGTTTGAATATTCCTGGTACTAATGGCATGTAGGATGGAGAAAACATTAGTACTGATTGTACCCATCAATATATAAAGCCACAATATTTCTTCCATTTAAAATGATGCAAATTAATGCACTGTTGCATTATGCAAGAGCTGAAGTGTAACAGAGAATGAATTTAGGACTTCAAGATTGTCAGTACTGGCACCTAGATACCCTAGTGATGGGCTTGCTTGAGATCGATCAAATTAAATGTGAATCAGGCAGTGAAGAAATGTGAATAATCAGGATTAATTGCACTACATCAATAACTGTACTCAACAGAATACAAGATTGTAGAAAAAAAAAATGGGAGAGCTACATACCTCAGCACTCCATGACCCTGTGTCTGTCTTGGACACTCTGTAGGTATAAACAAATCCTTTATACCTATAAAAGAATCAATGGGTATCTATTAGTTAATCCGACTGTCAGATTTAGTTGCAGTTGCTCTGTAATCTCAATGTTAGTTCATGTAACAATCTCCTTTTCTTAGCAATAAATGAATTCATCCCGTCTCCAGTATGAAATGCAAAATTATGACTCTGGTCAGAAGTTGGGTTTCATCCCACTGAAACCTGCTGCATTCAAAATAGTTTAGGGCACTGAGTTGATCCATCTGTGATTAAAAACTTATTTTTATATTAAAAATGAAATTGTGATACCTGTTCAACATTTTTATTTTTCCATCTGTGACCTGTAACACTCAGGCATGTACGTCAGACACACTTTCTACAGAACGGCTGCATGTCACTAGTAAATAGCAGGGCTGCTACATGCGGGGGGTTTTTTTAAATCGATCAAAAATGTTCCCAGAACCAATGCCACCTAATTTTTTTTTTTTTAATCAAAAACCACAGAAATCACAGCAAGTTACAGTTTGTCTAATTAGTTACTTTTTATTTCTTAATACCATCCTTTGAGCTTCCACGCAGGAAACACTGACACAGGAGTCCCCTGGACCTGATGAAGCTGGGAAACCTTCATCCATTTCAAATTTCACCTCCATTCAAGGGACAATAAGAATAGAGGTCACAGCCTAAGAGCTGTGAAAAAAAAAACTATTGCTACCCAGAGTTGGTCTTAGATCTCCTAGAAATCCAACACTGTAGAGATACCAAACTTTAAAGGTATGACTTGTGAGAAGAGACAGCTGCTAATGACCACTTGGACAGGTAAATTACTTACAGTGCAAACTTAGGGTCAGTGGTAATAGAATCAAATGGTTATGTTTAATACCCATGAAGTACAGGTGTAAATGCCTGCACACAATGTAGGCCCAGACATATTACATTTCAAAAAACGTAATTATGTGATAATCGCGCCATTTGTGATATTCATTATTTCTGCATCACACTATTCAGAGAGCAGCTGCATATTATATTTTTTCAAATTATGTGCAATGTTGTAGTAGTTACGACAAAACAACTGAAGTAATAAATGACCCAGGTGCTAGGGCTGTGGGAAGCTTCAGCCGCTGATTCGATTCGGCAAACTCGGCCCAATTCAGCGGCCGAATCTGTGAATCCAAATCGAATCAGGAGACCCTTTAATCTCCCTGCATTGAATTGGAACCCTCCAAATCGATTAGGAGAGATTCGAAGATTCGGACATAGACACAGCTTTAAATGTTTTTTCTACATACCTCAAAGTACCAGGCGGCTTGTGAATGCTGGGGTGGTGGGGCGGAGGGAGCATGCTATGGGAGCGTGGGGGTCCCCAGAGCACTCGATGGTGGACCTGGAAGTGGACCAGAAGCACTTCTGGTCCACTTCTGGGTCTGCCGCGGAGCACGCTGGGGACCCCCTCCCCACCCTCTGGCTCAGCAACTAGTCCCTGCTGAGTCTGGGGGGCACCCGGGGTTCCCCTGCAGCTGATTACTAACCTGGAAGTACTTCTGGTCCACTTCCAGGTCTGCCGCCGAGCACTCGGGGGGGCTCCCTATGCTCCTGTGGGGTGCTCCATCCACTGCACCATTGCAGTGTTCATGAGCCACACCTGGTACCTCGAGGTATGTAGAAAAAACATTTAAAGCTGTGTCTATGGCCGAATTGTTGATTCCGGGAATCATCATTGAATCTTCAGAATTGGATTCAGCTGAATCGAATCCAGACAGCGATCCGAATCAATGAATCCAATCTCTGCCTCCCCGATTCAGGCCAAATCCGAATCCGAATCAAATACGGCCTGTTTTGCACACCCCTACCAGGTACCATAGGAATGCAATGATTTATGCTCCACGTCACATGTCACCACTTCACCACTGCTGAATTTCTTCTTTCTGAAGTGCCAGAAATGTGTCTAATTACTGACAGTAACTACCTGACCAGCAGGTTGTTAACAGTTATCACAACATTCATCATCAGAGTGGTCTGATTCTGACTTGATAGCTTTAAGACCCACTGGACTCTCTCTTTGCACGAGTGTGAATGAGTATACAAGGTGAACGGGGACAGTTCACTTACTGGTGCAGAACCGTGATGCTCCATCAAAACCAATGGCACTGAAGCTGAAGTATCGGCCTATTGTTTCTATACAGAACTGCATGACTTATAGCACCCGTATCGCAAGCTTCCCATACTGATGCCTGCTCTCTCAGCCTAGAAGTCCTTGACTACTTCACAGTTTGCTCACACTGCTTCCTGCCATTATTTAAAAAAACAGTTCATGTTAAGAGCTCTTAAGTCTGGAATACCAGATGAATGGCTTTCCAAATGGTGCTTACCTTCTAGCCTTTCTGAATGCAAATGCTCTGCCTTGCCCACTGAAGTCACTGGGTTTTACCTTTGCCACAGTGCTCTGTTCCCCAGTAGCCACATGCAGTTCTTTATGAGAACGTCTTTGCTGTACATCATTCTCCTTTACTAGCTCAAAAATCATCTCACTGCTCTATTTACAAAGGGTTTGGGTAGTTTTGTTTTTTTTTAAGTTGTCTTTCTTCTTTCTAAAATGCATTCAGGTCTTACATTGATATAAAACAAGGCTTCATCATGATCACACATTCCTGAAGCTCGAGCTTTCCAAGTAGTCGCTTAGAACTACAAGTTCTCTGCAAAAACAACAGGCAACACGCTCCCTCCTATATACCAACGCCCCACTTCTCTCCCTCATCTAATTGTTATTAGCAGTTAATGCTCCAAGGTATTTAAAGTGTCTAACTTGTTTGTAACTGTGGCTATCGACCACTTGATCAGCTTGTCAAAGATTCTCTCATCATCAGCTAAAAACCACGCATTTGGCATTATCTCAAACCCCATTTTTTCTTGTTACATGCTTCAAGTCTCCAGTCCTCATTTGTATTATAGCTTTGGTCCTTGGTGTAGCAACCAAAACATCAGCATATCTACAGTAAGTTAAATATGGCCATTAAATCCACCCTATCCTTAACATTTTGGAATTACTATGTTGCTCTTTTCCTTTTCATACACTTATTAAACTGTGTTGATGTTAGTGCACCTATCTTCCTATTGCAATATAATGTTGAATTAATCCTCTCCTGTTTGTACTCTGCTTTTTGAACCACAATACACAGTTGTACTACATTAATATATTTTTCAAATGTTGAAGTCTTTCACTGCAGCCCAGAGGCTATGTCACTGAATATTATTATACACTTCCTCAATATCTAGAAAAGTGATATACATATCCTGCATTTATTCCCAATTTCCCTCCAGTAGAAGATGAAGTAAGGTATTTCAACTCCAGTGCCACTATTTTTCCAGCTCTATAGTCACAACTCGGTCTAGATAAAGACCTCAAAGACAGGGTTTTGCAAGTTGGAACAAAGCAGAAGATACCACAAGAGTCCTTCCATTCACTTTTATCCCCTCAACCTTTTATTGTTCCTCCAAAGTGGTTATTATCAACTTCTTCCACTCCTTTGGTATTTTTTCTAACATTAGTTTGTGATTTTTTTTAACTTAATTTCACAATTGTTAATCATTCAGCAGGCCCATTACCAAAAGCTGGTGCTGTACTGTTCAAAACCATTCACTGTGCTTTAAATCTCTTCAAAATTCAATTCTTCCACAAGGCTCAGCTTTCTGGAAAAACAGAGTTTCTATTTCCTGGCAAATACATGACCCCACGGATGGGAAGAAAGCTGGACAGTGCAAAGGAGAAAGGAGTGATTCACTGGTCCTCCGAGTTGGGGATTGGGCATAAGGTTATCTCCCTACCCCCATAAGCAACCCTCAAATAATCCTGAGAAAAGCACAATACAGATAAATAGCTTAGGATAAAAGAATAGAAAGCGGAAATATGGACTGCGTTCAGTGTATATGGTTTAGGAGCCCTCTAAAATACAACGAAGTAACCAGAGGGGTATTCTGTGCACACCGCACTACAGGAGACCAATGGCTGGGAACTGGGTCTGTTGTATGGTGGAAAAGAGACACGAAGGCATGAAATGGGAATGAATTGTGATGTTGAGTGGTACTGTTTGTGGCTTTGAACCCATCAGTGAATGAACTTGCTATCTAAGGATAAGAGGGAGATGACACAATATTGACCTCACTGGATGCATGCTCCACTGAAAAAATGGTTGATGGAATAAAAACCTGTCTGAACAAAGACCTTTTCCCATAAGACAACTTGCACAAGATCTTTTTTTTTTTTTAGCAAAATGAATTGCAGCTCTGCTGATCATTGCTTTCCTAACGCACGTGATCTTATCATAGCTTTCTGTTAAACAGCAAGGACACACTGCATTACCACTTGAAAGTACTTTCTCTTTTCAGCGTGAAAATAGCCCCATTCTGACAAACCAAGTTTCCCTCACAACCTGCCAGCTGTTTCAAACAATGTTTCATGACTTAACCTGCCTTGCCCTATGGGTACACAAGTACTAATTTTCTGACATTTAAGCTGGCTTAATTTTTTGAAGTCGATTTAACTGTCAGAGCGTATGTGGAGGAGTCACCCTAACTGCGGCACAAGATAATACACCTCCGAGGTATATTATCTAGAGTTGCAACCATTAAGTTAACTTAGCTCCCAAGATGGCTGCCACCATATCAAGGAGCTGTATGTGGGTATGCTCTGATGTGGCTTAATTTAAATTGACTTAGTTAAGTCACCTTATTTTAAGTTGACTTAATACATGTGTACACATGTAACTATGCAAAACAGTTCCCATCCAGTAAGTACCCACCCTCTCTTTTTTCCTATTAAACGGCAAAGATTCCCTATGCCTACACTCTGCCTACTCCTATAAAGCGCACAGAAAGCATGTTGCATCAGCCTTAGGCTCAGTGTACGAGGGGTTCCCCCTGTGGCACCATTAACTGCCAGCTTAGTTTTCTCCTGTGAAATCAACTCACATTGGAACAACTCTTAGTCTGACCAGACAAGCTCTTCTACATCCTGCTTCTAATACTATGCAACTTCAT